CGAAGGAATTGACTATTCCTAGTCACTTTCCCGCGGGTCCCCAACGGGTCCTTGACGGGACCTTGGCGGGTCCTTGGCAGGAGCTTGGCAGGCGGACGACCGCCCACCTCGCGCCCGCTGGTACAATGTGCTGATTTCTTAACCCCTCATTTTATTGATTTGTGGCGTACATGTGTGCCTCGATTGAGGAATGTGAGTCTTGGGTAAGGAACCATGGACCACCCAAACATAGTGTCCTACGTAAAAGACCTTGACGCACGAGACACCATCGGGAAATCACAATCAATTACATTGCACGAGTAATTGAAATCTAATCCTTCGATACAACCGACTAGGGATGTTTGGCGTAAAGGATTGCGCAAACCAAGGAGGCGAGTTGGGAACTCGTACTAAGAACCCACGAAAACCTTAAAAGTCAAAATGCTAAGGAGGGACCGGGACTCCTCCAAACCATGGACATCGTTCGAGCAAATCAGAGGACTCCTTACAAGTTGTATGGAATCAAGAACTACGTAGGCCATGGTGCTAAGCAAAAGGGTGAAGAACACATTCGCATCAAGACTTCAAGGGTCATTAAGGACCTACAAGGAGATGAGGTGACTCGTAAAGTCGCCGAGTCATCCCACAACGAGATTTGGTAACCGACTGCGCTTTAAAAGGAAAAGGGCACGCAAGGACACCTTCATCATTAAAAATAACACAAATAGGGCACAACAATGCCGAACCTCGGGTAAGACATGAAGTCTTACTAAGAATTTCATCCACTAAAGAGGAGATGAAATTCAATAAGAAGAGAAATTCAACCCAAAGTCCATCGACTCCCAAGAGACTTTGGAAAGAATTTGGGAAATGCGCCCTAAGAGATTGGCTTGGTTGACCCAACTCGGTCAAGACCTTGGGCACATTAAAGAAGTAAGTGTTGAATCACCACGAGAAATTCCCTCAAGAAAGAAGAGAAGGATGAAACCTTAGCCTGGGAAGCAAGGTCTAACAAGGATCTTAAAGTCAAGCAAGCACCAACACCAAGGAAGGAGGATCATCAGCTCGTCGGCGCATCGTGATCAAAGCATCTAACCAGATTATTCACTTGGGATCGAGAAACCTTAACCCATCCTAGCCGAATTCCTTTCCCTCCCTCGGAAAATCGGCCCCTTCCTTATTTCAAAACCCTTTCTACCCTTCAGACCCCATTCTCAATCCCATGTTTTAACGATTCCATACAAGTGGCAACCTCACAACCTAAGTTGCAACCTCGAAAACTTGATCCTAATTCCTGAATTCACCGTGTCCTCAAGTTTGAAACCCACTCTCTTAGCCCTGTAAAACCTAATCGCTCCCAAAAACCCAACACACATAGACGTGCAAGTATACAATTTCCCCGTGGAATACCTTCTCTATAGGACCACGGTTCTTCTCTTGACTCGTTAACCCTGCAATGATTTCAAAGCTTCGGGGACGAAGCTTCTCGTAAGGGGGGGAGAGTGTAACACCCCGTGTTACGGCCTTCAATCCCGGATTAATTATTAAATTAATCCCGTTAATAATAATTAAATATGATTTAATTCGGTTAGGTTTCCTTTAATTAATTAATAAAGGTCCACCATGAACCGTGGACCCTTGCCTAAATTAGAGTCCTAAGCCTATTAGGAATAAAGAAAGTAAACCCTTTACTATTCAGATTCTAATTAGGAATCCTCGACCTAGTTATCTATTAGGAATAATGGAGGTAGGCCTTTTACTATTCAGACTACGATTAGGATTCCCTTTAATTAATTAATATGGTCCACTATGGACCATGGACCCTTATCCCTAAACCCAATCCTTAGTTCCAAAAGGAATAGAATTAGCAAGCCTATAATATTAGTTCCTAACCAGGACTCCTAAATATATAAATAGGGGACTTAAGAGGCACCTAGAACCCCCCACCACAATAAACGTTCCACCACCCCAAAGTGCTCCAAGAATCCCCTTAGAAGAAATCAAGAAAGCAAGAAAGCTTAAACAAAGACCCTTCATAGCCAAGGAATTAATTAAGGCTAAGAGGTAACCCATGTCTCAACAAAACCTATTTTCATAGCTATGATTCCCCCTTAGGGTTTCCCCCATATTATTGTGTATTGGCGAGATATGATGATTATTATTGATGTTTGATGTGATGATCCCATGAGGGATCTTGATGATCTTGATATTGGGAGATTCTTGATAACTATGGTGTTCTTGATAATTATGTGGAGTTCTTGATGATTATGTGTCGTTCTTGATAATTGTGTGATGCTCTTGATGTTTATGTGTTATTCTTACCGAATCTTGCAATTAGAAGACGAACCGTATTCTTGTTGATATAAAAGTGATTAGAACCCTAGGTTGTATCGTATGATCTTATTCTTGGATTATCGGGGGGGAAAATTGCATGTTTGGGTGTTGATTATGTTTAGAAAAGCATGATAGGTTATGTGCCGATCGTTTCTCGTATTTGATCCGTTAATTGTGTACGAATTGTCGTTAATTGCGTTGTAAAGTGTCTAAGCATGGTTTCGGGTTCCACAACGGTTCCCGGGGCGAAAAGTGATGAAAAGAGTCAGTGGGGGGTAGGTGGGGGGTAGGGGACCCGCCACCTACCCATGGCCGTAAAACACCGCCCGGCAGCGGGTGGCCGGCGGGCGGGCAGCTGCCCGGAACAGTAGAATCCGGCGGGCAGCCGGCGGGTGGCCCCCACCCACCGGCTACCCGCTGGAAAATTCCCCCACTCGGGAGTTCGGCTTCCCCGTTTGATGTTCCCTCGATCCCCGTGGTGTCCCAACGGACTCCGTTTATCGTGCCTGTGTCTAGTTTGATGTTTCGGGTACCGTTCGTAGGTTTATGAGTCTATTATATTGCATGCTAGTTGAATTGGTATCCCGTTGACCTAGGTGGAAGAAGTATGAACCCCTTAGGACTATTCTTAGAAAGTGATGGATCACGCATAGGTTTTGTTATACGTTTTCTCCCCCTTCCTAATGTGTAATGTGGGTTGCATGTGCTTGCTATGTGTTATGTGTGTGTTACCCCAATTCGGTTGCGATCGGATTGGTTATCCTGCGCTGCGGTTCAGAAGCTGGCTGCGATCAGATTGATACTCTTGGGCTGCGGTCCACCGTTTGGTTGCGATCAAACGTTTCTATACGAGCTGCGGTTCGTCCTTTTTCCTGGCTGCGGTCAGATAACATTCTCTTGGGCTGCGGTCCACTGTTTGGTTGCGATCAAACAGTATGATGAGCTGCGGTTCATCGGTCAGTTGCGATCGACCCCTCCGTGTTGCGATACGGGGCAGGGTGCTGCGGGGCCGTGTCAGAGCTATATGCGCTGACCCTCATGTATGGGCATGCGATTGGTCCTGTGGCGCCAACAAAGTGTGCTATTTGTTGTGATATGGATGAGTGGTGATCATGAGTGTCTTGGGGGATGTGACTATGGGATCTATGTTGGGGATTGTTTATGTTGGGTTGTGGCTATTGTTTATGCTTTGCCTTATCTGCCTTATCTGTTGTGAACTGCATATGTTTGTTATAACTGTTGCTCGTGTCTGGCCTTATCTGTCGAGTCATCCCCGGTTTTAAAAGCTAGAGTTCGTAGGATATATCTTCATGCTCAAAATGGTTTTTGTATATCTATATATATCTCTATATGTATTGTATTTCAACGCGTTGGAGTGGGTTACCAGCATCTCTCGCTGAACAGATATATTTGGCTTTCAGGCACAGAGGACTAGAGCACTGGAGCGTAGAAGTAGAGTAGTTTCCCTTTCGGCCTGCGTGCCATATTATGTTTCGTGTTTCAATGGATATTAGTTAGACAGCCTGTGCACCTGGGTTCTCTAGCCCAGGTGTGGCATAGCACCCCGTACACTTATGATATACTTTGGGATGTAATGAGATATTACCTTTATTATATGCCTATATGTATTGTATTTCAACGCGTTGGAGTGGGTTACCAGCATCTCTCGCTGAACAGATATATTTGGCTTTCAGGCACAGATGATTAAACACTGGAGTGCGCTAGAGATTCAGAGCATAGAGTAGATAGTTTATCTTTCGGCCTGCGTGCCATGTTTTTGTATTGATACCTTGGGGATTCTAGAAGTAAGCCTGTGCACCTGAGTTCTCTAGCTCAGGTGTGGCATAGCACCCCGTACTCTTATGTTTGCTTGGCATTTATGAACATTTACCTTTATTATATGAGCTTCAAAAGTTGAAAAATTTCGGGGTGTTACAAACATGATAAGTGGCGCAAGGCAATGGATGAAGAGTTTAATGTGCTTCTTCAGAATGAAACTTGGTATCTTGTTCCATCATAATCTGATATGAATATTATTGGGTGTAATTGGGTTTTTCGCACCAAAAGGAAAGCTGGTGGGTCAATCGAATGCTACAAAGTAAGGTTAATAGCTAAAGGATTTAATCAAGTGCCTGGTCAGGATTTTTTTGACACCTTCAGTCCAGTGGTCAAAACCCACTAATATCAGGTTACTTCTCTCTCTAGTTATATCCTCTGGTTGGGTTGTTAAGCAGCTTGATGTGCACAATGCCTTTTTGAATGGGAAATTATATGAAACTGTTTATATGAAGCAACCACCTGGATATATTGATAAACAGTTTCCTAATCATGTTTGCATGTTAAAATGCTCTCTATATGGATTAAAATAAGCTCCTAGAGCTTGGTTTAATCGCTTGCATGCGTTTCTGATGTCAGCAGGGTTTAAAGCTTCAAAAACATATGTAACTTTATTTTACTACTCGCAAGATTCAGGCTTCATTTATATTCTAGTATATGTTGATGATATTCTTGTAATGGGCAATGATCAGAATCTTGTTAGTACTTTACTAGCAAAATTGGCATCTGAATTCAAGATTAGGGATCTTGGCGAACCTGATTTCTTTCTTGGGATTGAAACTGTTAAGTGTGATGATGGAATTTTGCTCTCTCAACAAAGATAAATGACAGATATTTTAAAATGTGCTGACATGACAGACTTTAAATCTTTAGCCACTCCTATATCTGTTTCGAAATCCACTGTCTTTAATGCAGACTTATATGATGATGCTACACAGTATAGGAGTTTGGCTGGAGCTTTACAATATCTTACGGTCAATCAACTCTGTCAACACATGCATGCTCCTACGGTCTCTCATGGGGAGCAATTGAAACGTGTATTGAGGTATGTAAAGGGAACTGTTACTTATGATCTGCGAATAAGGAAGTCAGTGTCTAGAGATTTACATGCTTTTTCTGATTCTGATTGGGCTGGCTGCCTTGAGGATCGTAAGTCAACTACTGGTTATGTTGTTTTTCTTGGAACCAATCTTATATCATGGGTATGTAAGAAACTAAGAACTGTTGCTAGATCATCTACTGAGGCTGAATATAAAGCTCTAGCAGATGTCTGTGCTAAGGTAATTTGGATTCTCTCTCTGCTGCGTGAAGTTGGCGTAACCGGTGTGTCTACTCCGAAGCTATGATGTCATAACCTTGGTGCTATATACATGTGTGAAATTGTGCAAATCCTATTTTTAATGATCGGACAAAGCATGTAGAAATTGATTATCACTTTGTTAGAGACAGAGTTGCCAATGGAGATATACAGGTTGCTTTTATTTCGACTAAGGATCGACTGGCAGATATCTTTACTAAGGCTCTACTTGGCCCTAGTTTTTCTTTTCTTAGAGACAAGCTACAAGTCATTACTGTACCTTGTGCTTGAGGGGGAGTATTAGGACTCTATATATTTGAGTTAGATTATTGTGACACCCCGTAAATCTAAATACTAATTGGGGATTAATTGAAGAATTAATCCAATCTTTCTTTGCGAATCCATTTCTAAAAATCCTGAAATTTAATAGTCGAGGGACTAGAATTTGACTAGTCACTTAAGTCATCAAGTGTACCTTGTGCTTTATGGTTTGTGCCCTTGCCCCCTTGTCTTTCTAACCTTAGTAAGGGTAAAAGTGACCTTTCACCCATGAATTGTTGTTCAAGCTATCCCTAGCAAGAGATTTCATCCATTCCTCACTCAAAGCCTTAGTCTCAAACACTCTAGCATCTCTCTAAAAGAACCTAGCTTATTCTTGAAGCAAAAAGGAGAACCTCCAAGCCTTGCAATATCCTTCTCCAAGATTCCTACTTTCGTCTTCCCAATCATAGGAAAGGGTAAGGTTCATAGATTTTTAGTGTTTTTAGCCATCTTTTGGGTGTCTTTACCTAAGTTAGAATCTTTCTTGTGTTTTGGCTTGTGCAAGAAGTTGGTGAGGAAGATGAGCTCTAAGAAAATGCTTAAGAGGGTGAAAAGGAGACGCTGTTAAGCTACAAAGGTAACCCATGCTATACAAAACCTATTTTCTTACTTAAATGATGATAATTGGCTTCTACTTGATGTTCTTGATGTGATTTGTGAGATTTGATGCATGATCTTGTGAAGATGCATGTCTAGAGCTTGTATTTAGGTTTCTTGAATGCCATTGCTTGGCTATTTCTTGGGTTCAAGTCATATATTTGTTGTGTGTGAGATTTTGGGTGTTTTGGACACGAACTTGGCTTTGTTGATGAATTTCCCCGAAGGGAAAAATTGTTGTACAGGTGGTACCCCTCGGGCGGAACGGCGGGCAGTGGCCTACCTGTGACACCCCGTAAATCTAAATGCTAATTGGGATTAATTAAGGAATTAATCCTAGCATTCCTTGGTAATTTCTTCCTAAAATCCTGAAATTTCATAGTCGAAGGACTAGAAATTGACTAGTCTTCTTGGTGTACCTTGTGCCTTGTGTGTTGTACCTCAATCCCTTATTCATCCAAACCTTAGTAAGGGTAACTTGGTCTTTTCACTAACGAGAGGTGCTCATGTTGCCCTAGCAAGACCTCTTGTCTTCATTCCATGCTAGCCAATGTTCTAAAAACTCTCCAACCTCTCTCTAAAAGAATCCTAGCTTGCTTTCCAAACCAAAAAGGGAACTTCCAAGCTTTGCATAGTCTTCCACCAAGATTCCAACTTTCCAACACTACAAGGCTAGGAATGGTAAGATCTATCCTTCCCTACCTTTTCCTTACAAGATTCCCCCATCTTTTCTCTAAATCTTTCTTCTACCTTGTGGGTTTTGGGAGTTTGTAGAAGATCTAGTGGTGGGTGAAGTGCTAGGTTGATCTAGTGGAGCTTTGGTCTTGCTTTGAGGTTGAAAAAGGTGCTCTTGGTCTACAAGAGGTAACCCATGCTACACAAAACCTATTTTCACTTGATAATAATGATTATTGGCTTCTATGTGACATTCTTGATTTGTTTGAGTGATTGATGCATTGTCTTGTGGTGATGCATTTTTAGAGCTTGTATTTTAGGGTTCTTGAATGCTATTTTATGAGTTATTCATTGGTTCAAGTCATATCTTTGTTGTGTGGAAGATTTGTGGTCATTTGGACTTGAACTTGGCCTAAAAAGTGATTTTTCGCGAATGCTGAAATTTTGGGTGCAGGGTGTACCCGCGGGTGGAGCCCTACCCGTGGTTCTCCCCGCGGGGAACATGTTTGGGATTGCGGGGATTTGTCCCCCGTGATCCCTTCTTCTTGGTATTTGATGTTTTGACCTCCCGTTGTTGAATTATTGAGCTTTTGTGAGTCTTCTTGATGTTTCATATGTCTAAAACGATGAGTTAGGAATCCACGTTAGGATTTGGTGTCTTGAATCGTGCTTATGATCCAACCTTGTGATTCGTTGGATTGATGTTGAGTCTTTGTGGTTCATTGGAACTATTTTGGTTTACCCGTTTGATATGCATGCTAGTTTGATGTTGTAATGCTAGTGTGTGTGGTTTGTTCTTTCCTATTGAGGTTGGCAACATGTGTTGACCATCGTTCGTGTCGGATTGTAATCCTTCCTTGTTGAGTATGGTTTCATATCTTTGTTGTGATCCATTGATTGATTCCTATGATGAAAACATGAGTATTGGTTGTACCTTGATTGCACGATTAAGGGTATGGGACCTTAATCTCCAAGGTACAGATGTGGTATCCATGGTTGTACACACTGTGTGGAATCTAGGTGTTGTTGTATCTCTAGATTCCGTGTGTTTTGACTCTTGTTTTGATGATGGATTTATGTGATGAGATGTTTGAGCTGGTAAAGTGGACAGTGTGGGGACTTATGTGTGAACGGACCGGTAGTGAAGCTCCGGATGGCCGTTTGGATACTTTACTTGTGGGTAACATGGGAAACTTATCCCCGTTGCCAGAGATGGTAGCTAACCCGTTGAGCTTGGAATCTCAATAGGGGGTGTATATACTTAAAGTTGCTAGCTCTATTTCCATTGGGCTGTGGTCCTTGTCATTGCGAAGACACTTGCATGTGATCCGGGTCATAGCGATGACCACGTGAAGCATGATTGTTGATGATTTGGAGCCCTCCACACTGATCCACTATGAATCGAGCCGTGGTGCTGACGCCACGGTATATGACTTGGTGTGATAGTGTCCTATGTGGACTTGGAACTCGTTATGGTGTGAATCTTGCCTTCCATTGCTTAAGAGCATGTCTATTGTGAATCCTCCGTTGCGTGTCGCATGTTGTACCTTGTTGTTGAGCTTGTTGCTTGTGGTTCTATTGTCTTGTTGAGTATGTTGGTCTTTGACCTTTGTTGTGAGTGATTGATGAGTCCATTGATGTTTCCTCTCTCGGCTTTAAAATGATATATACTGTATTCCCAGTTTCAAACGCTTTTGATTATATCTATGTATATATTATGATACTTAACGCGTGTTGATGGGTTACCAACATTATTCGTTGACCGGGTGTTATCCCTTATCTTTTACAGGTTGAGTAGATTTGGAGAGCGCGTTAGTTGATTTGTTAGCCTAAGTAGTTGATTTGGAGAGCGCGGTGTAGATAGATTAGATCTCTTCCTTTAATAGTTGTTGAGGTCTATGAGCCTAAGTAGTTGATTTGTTAGACTGTTTAGTGGTTAGTATTTTCCTGTGTACCTATTGTTGTGTAGGTGTGGCATAACATCTCCCGGATTGTGTAGTTAGCTTCCGCTTTTCTTATTTGATGTTTAGACTGTTAATCCCTTTAAATTAAGTTTTAAAAGTTGTTGAAATTCGTGGGTGTTACACTACCCGCCGCCCCACCTGCGGGGAATAGGTTGTCGTGGGTGTTGTACCCCGCGAGCAGGCCCATGGGTGGGGGCCTACCCGTAGCACCACCCGCGGGGAACAATTGTTGAAGGTGCGGGGATTTGTTCGCCGTGATTCTTTTCTTCTTGGTATTGGTGGTTTGACCTCCCGTTGTTGGATTATTGAGCTATTTGTGAGTCTTCTTGATGTTTCGTATGTCTAGAACGATGTGTTAGGAATCCATGTTAGGATTTGGCGTCTTGAATCGTGCTAAGGGTCCAAGTTTGTGATTCAATTCGTTGGGCTAATATGAGTCTTGAAGGTTCGTTGAAACCATTTTGGTTTACCCATTTGATGAGCATGCTAGTTTGATGTTGGTATGCTAGTATGTGTGGTTTATTCCTTCTTGTTGGGGTTGGCAACTCGCGTTGTCAATCATTTTGATGATGTACTATAGTCCATTGTTGTTGAGTATTGCTTCATGTCTTCATTAAAGTCTCTTGATTGATTCTTATGATGTGATCTTGTACAAGTCGTTCTACCCTTTGTTGATACTCGATTGGGCTATTGATGAGCCTCAATCTTCTTGATGATGATGACGACTGTGTGTGATAATGATTGAGATTGGTGGTAATATTATTGAGCTTTAATGTAACACCCCGAAATTTTTAAACTTTTGAAGCTTATATAATAAAGGTAAATTCTCATTAAATCCCAAAAACATAATATAAAGAGTACGGGGTGCTATGCCACACCTGAGCTAGAGAACTCAGGTACACAGGCTAACTAACTAATATCCTCAATAATGTAAATGCATAAGCATGGCACGCAGGCCGAAAGGAAACTATGTACTACTACGCTCCAAGACTCTAGCGCGCTCCAGTGTCTACTCCTCTGTGCCTGAAAGCCAAATATATCTGTTCAGCGAGAGATGCCGGTAACTCACTCCAACGCGTTGAAATACAATACATATAGGCATATATATAGATATAAGAAAAACCATTTTGAAGCATGAAGATATATCCTGAGAGACTCTAGTTTTCAAAACAGGGAATAGACTCGACAGATAGGGATAAGCACAACCAACAGTCATAATCAAGAATGCACAATTCACAAGCGTAGGGAACAGATTCGACAGATAGAGATAAGCACAGCCAATAGTCATAATCAAGCATATACGGTTTTCTAGCATGTATCCTATAGTCACACTTTCATAACATTCGTAATCATCAAACCATCCATATCTCATCACATAGCACACTTTGTTGGCGCCACAGGACCAATCACATGCCCATACATGAGGGTCAGCGCATATAGCTCTGACACAGCCCCGCAACACCCTGCCCCGTATCGCAACACGGAGGGGTCGATCGCAACCGACCGATGAACCGCAGCTCATCATAATGTTTGATCGCAACCAAACAGTGGATCGCAGCCCAAGAGTAGTCATCTGACCGCAGCCAGGAATATGAACCGCAGCTCATGTAAAACGTTTGATCGCAACCAAAGGGTGGACCGCAGCCCGAGAGTGTAAATCTGACCGCAGCCAGCTTCTGAACCGCAGCTCAGGAATAACCAATTTGATCGCAACCAAATTGGGGTATCATGCACACATAACACATAGCAAGCACATGCAACCCACATTAACACATTGGGAAGGGGAGAAAACGTATAAAGAAACCTATGCGTGGTCATCCACAAACTAGGAATAATCCTAAGGGGTTCATACTTCTTTCACCTAGGCCAACGGGATACCAATTCAACTAGCATGCAATATATAAGGCTCATTTATCTTACGAACGGTACCCGAAACATCAAACTAGACTTAGGCACGATAAATGGAGTCCTTTGGGACACCACGGGGGTCGGAGGAACATCAAACGGGGAAGCCGGGATCCCGAGGTGGGGTAATTTCCAGCGGGTAGCCGGTGGGTGAGGGGTAACCCGCCGGCTGCCCGCCGGTGGCAAATTTTCGGGCAGTGGGTGCCCGGCGGGCAGTCGCCTGCCCGCTGTCGGCGACGTCCCTCCTGGCCGCGGGTAGGTGGTGGGTCCCCTACCCCCCACAGACTCTTTTTCACAAATAACGCCCCGGCAACCTTTGTGGAACCTGAAACCATGCTTAGACACTTTAAAACGCAATTGATGGCAACACGTAGACAATTAACGGATCAAAAGCGAGAAACATACGGAACATATCCTATCATGCTTTCTAAACATAATTAACACCCCAACATGCGAATTCCCACCCAATACATTAAGAATAACATCATACGAGTTTCACGTTACATCCTAGGGCTCTAATCACAATTAAATCATCAAGGACGTAATTCATCTTTTAACACTAGGAAACAATACGATTTACCAAGAATATCACACAATTATTAGGAATCTAGGTTTATCAAGAATATCACCCAATCATCAAGAATCTCTTTCCATCATCAAGATTATCAAGATTACCCAAGAAAGCATAACATCAATTATTAACATCACACCATCAATATCATAAACGAATCATCAATACATAAGAATGTAGAGGGATGCCTAGAGGGAGATCATAGCTAAGAAAATAGGTTTTGTTGAGACATGGGTTACCTCTTAGCCTTAATTAATTCCTTGGCTATGAAGGGTCTTTCTTTAAGCTTTCTTCTTTCTTGATTTCTCCTAAGGGGATTCTTGGAACTTCTTGTGTGGTGAGAGATTATTGTAGTGGGGGTTCTAGGTGCCTCTGATGTCCCCTATTTATATACCTAGGAGTCCTAATTAGGATCTAAAATACTATATGCTTGCTAATTCTATTCCTTTTAGGGCTAGGGGTTGGGTTTTAGAGGTGAGGGCCCACGGACTATGGTGGGTCATTTCCAAATTAATTATTGTAATTTAATTCTTTCTTTGGATAATTGGTTAAATGGTTAATTGGTTTTAGGGGTCGTAACACGGGGTGTTACATTTAATTTGCTCACGAGATCGGTGGTAATATTGTGACTTTACAGTACCCTCGTGTACTATGAGATCAGTGGTAATACGGTTCTGATTGGTGGTAAAGATTGGTGGGGACGACAGTCCCTGGCGGAATAAGGTTGGACTCTAAAGTATAGGGTGGCACTTGGATGTAAAGGTTGGAACTAGCTATAAGGTCGGGGGTAGCCATAAGGTTGGAACCGCGCATAAGGTTGGAACTTGAAATGATTATATGATTGTGTGATTCCCTTGCTTATGAGCATGTGTTTGATGAACTGTACCTTGTGAATGGTACGTTGCATCTAGAGTTATGTTACCTTTTTGTTGTTGTGGTTTGTGGTCTTGTTGAGGTTGATGATCCTCGTTCTTGTTGAGAGTGTGATGAGTCTTTGATGTTGATCTTCTTCTGGCTTTGAAATGATTATGTACTGTATTCCTCAGTCTCAAACGCTTTTAATTATATCTATCTATACTATGTTAATTAACGCGTATTGATGGGTTACCAGCATTATTCATTGACCGGGTGTTATCCCTATGTTTTACAGGTTTTGAGTAGATGACGAGCGCGCTAGATGTGGACTCTAGATAGTGTAGCTCCTGTGGTTAGATGTGTTGCTTTTGTTGGCCTGTGTGCCTAGAGCAGTGGCCTGTGTGCCTAGACTTATGTTATGTTTAATGATTGTGATAGATTTAGCCCGTGCACCCATGGTTTATGGGTGTGGCATAATGCCTTCTCGGTTTTTAATAGCATCCGCTTTATGATTGTTTTGATGATTAGTTGTTTATCTTGGAATTTAATTTTTAAAAATATTGGTAAAATCGCGAGTGTTACAATTATGATTCCCTATCCAGTCTCCCTTAGACTCTCTCTTTATATATACATATAATCTGCACTTTTGTTATTACTTTTATTCAATACAATTCATTTAGTTCTCATCACTAGAAGACTAGAATGAGGGTGTTCCTTAGATCTCTAGATGAGGAATGTAGGGACGATCATGAAAATTGGTGGACTGAACCCACGATGTTCGTACAAAATGAGGAAAAGAAAAAACCACTAGCAGACAACAAATGAAAGAAAAAGGGCCTCAGCAAACAACCAATCCATAAATATTATTCATAGTGCCTTGGGTCATGATCAATTTGAACTCATCTCCAAAATTGATTCAGTCAAAGTAGCATGGAATGCCTGGTTGACTCATTACAAAGGTACTGGATCAGTCAAAATGTCCAAATTGCATATGCTCATGACCAAATATGAAAGCTTGCAAATGACTGGATTTAAATCGATATCGTAGTTTAGTGCACATATAAAAAATCTGGCAAATAAGCCACATAACTTGGGTGAACCAACTGAAGAAGAAAAGTTGGTACTAAAAGTCCTAAGGTCGTTACCTCCAAGGATCAAAATGCAGGATATAGTGATCAAGTAGTTAACAAACCTCACAATACTTAGACTTGACGCACTGATGCGGAACTTGCATACTTTTGTGCTTGAAATGGAAGAAGGAGAAGACCACCAGAAGAAAACCAAAGGAGTTGCCTTTGGAGAAACTACATCAAAACCCAGCCCAGACTCAAAAATTGACGTGAATGAGGTTGTGGCGATGCTGACCAAGAAATTCAACAGGATATTCAACAAATCATGAGGAAACAGGAAGTTTAAAGGAAATAATAAAAAAGGAGATGGGACTAGCTACACACCAAAGCCAATAGAAGCAATTCAAGACTTCAAGCTCAAGGGGGTACTATGTTACGAGTGTGGTGGCTACGGGCATATGCAGGCTGAGTGTGAAAACAATCGAGGAAAGAAATCATTCACCCTCATGTGGAGCGATGATGAGGAATCTGAATGAGGTAAGTTTGACCCACAAACAAACAACTTATTGGGCGTCAGCCGGGTTGGCCGAGTTCAACCCCTGCTCAATTTGAGACGTGACGATGTGGCTTACCATAGAGGGATGTGGTTAAGTGGTTAATGTCCACTTACTTATCACGAATTGATTTTAAGTAGGATATGACAACCAGATAGCCAAAGAATATGGTCAAGCGTGCTTGACTTACAACAATCACAAGATGGGTGACTCATTGGGAATCATTATGCAGCGCTCAAATCCATCAATTGGTATTAGAGTCGAGGTTATGAGTTTGAGTCGATGGTGAGGTAAAAGCCGAGTCCAGTCGCAGATGGGATGTGGGCGTAGGTCGGGCCAAGTCTAGTCGGGAGTAGGATTAGTAGGCGTGGAGGCTAAGGACCCAGTCATGCATGCTGCGTAACTGGGCTTGGTGTTCAAAGGTTGCGATAGGTGTTGGGAGGGGGATTATTAGGTGTCGGTTGGGTTAGCTGAGTTAAGCCTTTCTCAATTTGAGACGCAGCGTTGTGGCTTACCATGGAGGGATGTGGTTAAATGGTTAATGTTCACCTACTTATCACCAATTGGTTTTAAATATGATATGACAACCAGACAGTCAAACAACTATGTGGTTAAGCGTGCTTGACTTACAACAATCACATGATGGGTGACCCCAAACACAGGATGGGTGACCCCTTGGGAAGTAAGTACAATGCAACACTCAGAACCAACACAACTTTTTGCTTTCTATGAAAACATATGTCGGCATTCGCCAAAGAGTTCTTTCCCTCAACCAATTGAGAGATGGAATTGCTTCAAAGTAGAAAAACATGTCTTGAAAACTGTATGTTAGATGATGAGATCCCCTTAGATAGTGAAGAAAATGAGCTTGAATAGATGTATGCTGATATATGTAACAACTAGGGCAAGGTAAGTACACAAAACGTGTCTTAGCTTAGAATATTGTTTTCCATGAAAATGAAAACTATACTTTGAAATCTAGTACTAAACAACTCACAACTAAATTAAAGGATAAATTGGCAAGAGATTTTTTTTTTGTCAAGCGAGTTAGGGAATCTGGGGAAACAAGCAAGAATGTTGAACACCGGTTGCTAACAGTTTGAATGAAATTCTTTAGTCCTGTGAAAACAATCACAACAAAGTAAGATTAGGCTTTACGGATACAACGAACATTCAATCAAGGACTTTGGTAAAAGAAACACCTTTAATAACTTCGGAACCCATTAAGACTAGATTTCCCTATAACGGATTTTTCAACAAAATTTGTTTTCGGTGCAATGTATAAGGACATGGATGGAGGAGATGCATGTGGAAAATGTCAACATTCACATAGAAAAAGATGTGGAGGCCCATTGTGAAGTGTACGGTGAAAAAAAATATCAATGACTGCAAATGCGTCTACATCCTGGTACTTTCATTACCAACACAGAAAATTAAGAAATCAAATATCATAAATGGTTATTAAAAGACTAGTTTAATAGCTCATCATCACACTGACGGGCTAAAGTCGCTTGGGATGTTTAGCCATTCATCTACGTCCACAAATGATGAATCCCAACTAACATTTGTGCCTTCATTGGTGGTGGAAATCTTCCCCACCGATGCATCTAATGGTACAACGTTAGACGAGCTAGCCTCACTATTTTTCAAATGAAAATTTTCCATACATGAATCAGAATTCATAGTAGTAAGCTGGAGAAAGGTTTGGTCCACGATGTTCAATGGGTTTACCCAATTGAGGTACCCATTTTCAGCTTCAAATTTGTGAGGTTGAGCTATCTCTTCCTCCACCATTAGGGGAAAAAACCCACCACTAGCGTGATATGGTGTCATCATTGGAGGAACCATAGGAGAAATGGAAGCTGGTGGAGCCACAATTGCTGATGGACTTAGTGGTTGCAGTTGAGGTGGTGATGGTGGAGCCAATTGAACCCTTTGATTCTCATGCCTCCTAGTAGATCTCTTTCCCTTATGGGACTTACCACCAATAGGGATGTCATGTTGAGCGCCACCGTGGGTCCAATGGCGTTTGCATGTTCGACAGTAATATCTTGGTTGATTCACACTGTAGTTGTTAAAATAGCTAAACTTGGTGTTATTGGACTGACAACGAGGGCATTCTCTCGGGGGAAGAGGAGTGCCATGGTAGTCCACTACTCTCGACCTCCTCCCCGGCGGAAATGATTGATTATAATCACCAAGTCCTCTACTTTGCTCCATCAGTCTCTAATTAATATGATTTAGAATATAATGATGTGAAGAATACGTTTGGTTTGGAGGCTTTTTATAGGGATTATGCATTAATGAGTTTCTAACTAATTGATGAAATATTTGCAGAATTTTGAAAATTTGGGTTGAGCAATTAATAATTGTCTAAATTTCATAAAAACTTTCCTTTCTTAAATGTATCTTGTAAATCATACTAATTTAGTGAATATGAATTTAATACATTAATTAACTCCGCTGACTGGTTTTCTCCTCAACTGTACAGATTATGGTGATTCCATCCTTTATTAAATGGCATATGTTAGGAGTATGTAAAGTATAACTAGTGCGATGTCTAAGCTACATCTAGACTTTTAGAGGTGTCAAACGGGAGGGCCTGGTTTAGCCCGCCACTAGCCTGTTTATTATTTGGACCAAGGCAATCCATTCCAATTAAAGTTCGAATAGGCTTGGCCCGATCCAAAAATAAAAATAAAAACTGGCCTGGTCCATAGCCTTAAAAATAAAAAATATTAAAAATCATTTGAGTCATTTATGTTATGTATTATTTCTAAATTAGTTTTATAAGTTCACATATTTAATTTCAACTATTTCACTTTAGAATTATTACGTCTTGATATCGAAATCAAGTTTCAACAGAAACTTTGTGACACCCCGAACTCCAAATTCAATTAAGGGATTAATTAAGTAATTAATCCTATTTCAATTTGTAATTTAATTCCTTAAATTTCTGAAATTCAATAGTCGGGGACTAGTAATTGACTAGTCAACCCCAAAGTCAATGTTGTACCTTGAGCTTTGTAAGGAGTTCCCTTGTTTCCTTACACCCCTTCATGTTAGTAAAGGTATTCTTGACCTTTCACCTTGTGTTAGTATTGTAACCTAAACTAGTAATAACACCCTCATTTCTTTCTTTACACTTTCCAAATTCTAGCTCCACCTTCTCTCTAAAAAGGTGGATAGCTTTTCTTCCAAGACAAGTTGAAGCTTTGCCAACACTTCAAGAGTTGTCTCCAAGATTCTACCTTTCATACATTTGGGCATCTAAGAGGGTAAGATCCATGTTCATCTTGTGTTTTTAATGTTTTCTAAGGTGTCTTTTCTTAAAGATAGAATCTTTATGATCTTTTGGTGTGCTCTTGAAGTGGGTTTGGAAGGTGAGCTTTGGTAGGAGCTTGGTGAGGTGTTAAGTGAAGGTTTTTGGAATACAAGAGGTAACCCATGCTCTACAAAATCTATTTTGCATACCTATGTGAATATTTCTTGGATTCTACATGTGTTTTGCTATGAAATGTGAGTGTTTATGCATTTTCTAGTGAAAATGCATATCTAGAGCTTGTGTTTAGGGTTCTTGTATGTCATTGCTTGACTATTCCTTTGATTCAAGTCACTTTGTTGTATTTGATGAGTTTTGGCATGTTTTGGACTTGAATTTGAGCTTGGAGTTAAAAATCCCCGAAGGGATTATTTTGGGCACAAGAGTGTACCCGCGGGCGAAACGGCGGGCAGAGCCCTACCCGCTGCCCCACCCACGGGAACGTGGTGCATGTGGGTGTATGTACCGGTGGGCAGGACCACAGGTGGGGCCTACCTGTGGGTCCACCCGCGGGGTACACTTTGGTGTACGATCGGGATTTGTTCCCCGTGATTCGTTTGACTCGGTATTTGGTCTTTTGACTTCCCGATGTTCTTTTATGGAACTATTTGAGTGTCTTCTTGATGTTTCGTATGTCTAGAATTATATGGTAGGAATTCATGTAGGTTTTGGTGTCGTGAATCGTGCTAAGTGTTCAACATTGTGATTCGTTGAACCGTGATGAGTCTTGTGTGTTCTTCGGAACTACGTTTGGTTTACCCGTTTGATAAGCATGCTAGTTCGGTGTTAAAATGCTAGCGTGTGTGTTGTTTGTACCTTCTTGTTGGTTGATGATAACTTGTGTTATTCATCGTTGTTGTTGTTGGGCTGTGACCCATTCCTTGATTGAGTATTGTTTCATATCTTCGTTGTGATCCGTTGATTGATTCCTGTTGTAGTGTGATGTGTGTGTGGCTTTACCTGGATTGCACGATTAGTGGTATGGGACACTAGTCACCAAGGTATTGCAGTAGTCCTCGTGGTGGCCATGACGTGATTATGGAGTTGTTGTAACACCCCGTGTTACGACCCCTAAAACCAATTAATCATTTAATCATTTACCAAAAGAAAGGACTAAATTCCAATAATTAATTGGGAAAAGGCCCACCATAGTCCATGGGCCCTTATCCCTAGACCCAACCCCCTATTCCTAGAAGGAATAGAACTAGCCCTAATTAGGGACTCTTAGGTATATAAATAGGGGGCATAGGAGGCACCTAGAACCCACACCACAATAATCTCCCACCACACAAGAAGTTCCAAGAATCCCCCTAGGAGAAATCAAGAAAGAAGGAATCTTAAAGAAAGACCCTTCATAGCCAACGAAATTAATTAAGGCTAAGAGGTAACCCATGTCTCAACAAAACCTATTTTCCTTGCTATAATAATCTTCTTTGGCCTCCTCTCTATACTTGTGTCTTGATGAATCGTTTATGATATTGATGATATGTTCTTGATGATTGTGAGATAATTTTATGTGTGATCTTGATGATCTTGATGATGTTAAGAGGTTCTTGATGATTATGTGGTGTTCTTGATGAATCTTGATATTTTGGTAATTAAAAGATGAACTATGATTTTATTGATTTGAATATGATTAGAGCCCTAGGTCAAAATTGGGAATTTCGTATTGTGTTATTCTTGATATAATTGGGTGGGATTTCGCATGTTCGGGTGTTGATTATGTTTAGAAGTCATGATAGGATATGTGCTATATGATTCTTGCTTTTGGATCCATTAATTGTCTACGTGGTGTCATCAATTGCGTTTAAAGGTGTCTAAGCACGGTTTCGGGTTCCATAACGGATCCCGGGACGTTTATTTTGATAAAGAGTCAGTGGGGGGTAGGTGAGGGTAGGGGGACCCGGCACCTACCCGCTACCCGAGAAGGGCGTCGCCGGCAGCGGGCAGGCGACTGCCCGCCGAGCACCCGCTGCCCGGAGACTTGTCGCCGGCGGGTGGTCCTCCACCCACCGGCTACCCGCTGGAAATTGTCCAACTCGGGACTCCGGCTTCCCCGTTTGATGTTTCCCCGACCCTCGCGGTGTCCCAACGGACTCCGTTTATCGTGCCTAAGTCTAGTTTGATGATTCGGGTACCGTTCGTAGGATAAATGGGTCTTATATATATCACATGCTAGTTGAATTGGTATCCCGTTGGCCTAGGTGAAAGAAGTATGAACCCCTTAGGACTATTCCTAGTTTGTAGATGACCACGCATAGGTTTCTTTATACGATTTCTCCCCTTTCCCAATGTGTTAATATGAGTTGCATGTGCTTGCTATGTGTTATGTGTGCATGATACCCCAATTTGGTTGCGATCAAATTGGTTATTCCTGAGCTGCGGTTCAGAAGCTGGATGCGGTCAGAATTACACTCCCGGGCTGCAGTCCACCGTTTGGTTGCGATCAAACGTATTACATGAGCTGCGGTTCATATTCCTGGCTGCGGTAAGATGATCACTTTTGGGCTGCGGTCCACCGTTTGGTTGCGATCAAACGTTTTACATGAGCTGCGGTTCATATTCCTGGCTGCGGTCAGACGATTACTCTTGGGCTGCGGTCCACTGTTTGGTTGCGATCAAACATTATGATGAGCTGCGGTTCATCAGTCGGTTGCGATCGACCCCTTCGTATTGCGATACGAGGAAGGGTGCTGTGGGGCCGTGTCAGAGCTATATGCGCTGACCCTCATGTATGGGCATGCGATTGGTCCTGTGGCACCACCAAAGTATGCTTGTGTGATGAGATACGAATCGAATGATGACGTGAATAAGATGAAGTGAATTTGTGACCATAGGATATATGCTAGTATCCTTATATGCTTGACTATAACTATTGAATATGCTTATCCCTATCTGTCGAGTCTATTCTTGATTTTAAAACTAGTGTCTCTTAAGTATATATCTTCCTGTTTCAAAATGGTTTTCGTATATATATATATACATAAAATATATTTCAACGCGTTGGAGTGGGTTACCAGCATCTCTCGCTGAACAGATATATTTGTCTTTCAGGCACAGATGAGTAGACACTGGAGCGCGCTAGAGACCTGGAGCATAGAGTAGATAGTCTTCCCTTTCGGCCTGCGTGCCATGCTTATGTGTTGACATTATCAAGGATATTAGTTAATTAGCCGGTGCACCTGAGTTCTCTAGCCCGGGTGTGGCATAGCACCCTGTACTCTTATGTTATGTTTTGGGATTTAATGAGGATTTACCTCTATTATTTTAGTTTCAAAAGTTTTAAAATGTCGGGGTGTTACAGTTGTGACCAGTGTGTCAGGTTCACGTATTTCTTGGGAGGCATGTGTTGCCGAGGCATCTGTTGCCGTGTGTGTGATCGATACCCTCGTGTACTATGAAATCGGAGGTTATGTTGGCGGTTTGTTGGCGGATGGGGACGACGGTCCTCGGAGGGAAAAGGTTGGACTTGGTTGTACAGGGTCCTGGAGGTAATGGTTGGAAGAAGATATAAGGTTGGGGGTAGCCATAAGGCTGGAACCGGGCATAAGGAAGGCATATTAACTCGTGATGGGTGATGTCACGAGGGCTTGTGTAGCCGTTGTTGTGAGTTCTCTTCTTGTGACATGTGTAGTCACAAAGGCATGTGTTGCCTTGGCATATGTTGCCGTTTGTTGTGCCTTTATTCCTTGAGTTATGCGTGTCGTGTATTAATCTATTGTGTGATGATAGATTATGCCTTGAGACTTCTTGTGAGTCGTTGTTGTTCCTTGTGGTCTTGGGATGTGTTCCCGTGTTCTTGTTGAGAGTGTTGAGTCTTGTGTTGACTATTACTCTTGGTTTTTGACTTATATATATGTATTTCGTTTTGAAAATGGCTTTACAAACTTATATCTTATCTATGTATGATATTTCACATGTATTGGTGGGTTACCAGCATTATTCGCTGACCGGGCGTCATCCCATGTTTTATATGCTTCTTTCATGTGATGCTTAGACGAGTGCGCGATCTAGTGCCAGCTAGTATAGCTTCCCTTATATGTTTTGTGGCCTGTGCACCAATCTAGGCTTAGTACTCTGTTGGATGGTTGTAGATTTTAATCAATGCAGATTTAGCCTGTGCGTTCACCCTTGGGTGAGCGTGGCATAGCACCCCGTTTCCTTTGTTTTATATATTTCCTCTTTCAGTCTTCCGCTGTGTTTGGTGTTTTGGTTTAAGATATCTGCATGTTTTAAGGCTTTAAATAGCATGGTTTTAGGGGGTGGTTTGAGACCTTAAAGTGACCTTAAGAATCTAAGTGTTAGGCTTAGGACTCTTAGGACGCGTGGTGAGCTGTGTGTTGCTTTTAGATTGTTCTGCTTTCTTGTTGTCTTCTGTTGTGCTTCTTGTGCTTTGTTTTCCTGTTAGCTTTGGTTCTCTTTAGTTAAGGCACCAGGTAAGGGTGCGGGTCTTAAGTTTCCTTCCGTCATCGTGCTGTTGCTGTAGATGTCAAGGATGGCACCATCGAGACGTCGTGCAAGGTCTTCAGAAGTAGTCACCAGTGATCAGGTAGCTCAAGGCCTTCATCAACTGACGCAGATCACCCGGAAGCTGAGCAATGCCCTTCTCAACAACAACCACCCTCTTCAGAATGGGAATCGCGACGTAGTGCGCCAAGTCGCAAGTCTTAGTCCCCCGATCTTCGCCGGTGAAGAAGATCCTGCTGTGCTGGACGAGTGGATCCGGATGTTTGACAAGATCTTTGAAGCTGTGGTTTGCCCGGAGGATCGTCAGGTGGAGTTAGTTGCGTTCTATCTTCGGCAAGGAGCGGACTCGTGGTGGATGCTTGAAAGTCCAGCTTGTAGGCAAGATCCGGAGTTCAGTTGGGAAGACCTGAAGGTCAAGTTACGTGAGCGGTTATATCCTGCGCATGTCAAGGAGGCCTACCTTTGTGCAACCGGCCCCTACCGAGTTTAGAAAGTTCAGAAAGGGATCTGGGAGAAGCGAAAGGAGAAGCATGAAGGAAGTTTTGCACCTGTGGTTAAGAGTTTGATGGCTACCGATGCCGAATCAATAGGAAGCTTTCAAAGAGATGGCTCTAAGAGAGGTAAGTCTCCCCGGCCAATCCAGAAGATCAAGGCTAAGGGAAGGCGCTCAGTTTGCAAGAAGTGTAGAGGTGCCCACCCCGGCGTGGACTGTCTTGGGAATCCGGTTGAGTGCTTTGCTTGTGGCAAGAAGGGTCACCGGTCCTTTGAGTGCGGGACTATGAAGAAGACTCCAGCGGACCTAGAACCAGTTAGTAGTGTGAGGCCCCGGTCGGGAAGAAAGTCTCGAAGTGGGAGCAACAATGGAATAAGTGGAGATAGCATCCAAGACCTGTGTACGAAGTCGGGACCTCGGCAAGGCAAGATCCGCAGTCGTGAGACAAATGCAAGTGGGAACCGTTGAAGTAAGCTCTTGTACCCTTTTTGCTGCACCTTCCTTTGTCTTTGTGCCCTTCCTTGCATGTTAGCTTCAGGTGTCAGCTTGTTCGAGAGTCACCCTTGACCCTCTGTAACCTTTTCTTGTCCCTAGACAAATCCAATCACCCTTTTTGCCAAGTGATCCTTTTCTTCCAAACCTTGTTCTTGTTTCATTCCAAATCATCTTGTGCAAGGCAGCAGTGACTTCAGCTTATGAAGGAATCTAGCAAGGTCTAAGAGTAAGACGCGTCCGATTCAAGGTAGAGAGCCTTCTGTTCATCAAGTGTAGTGATCATCGTCAAGCCAAAGTTTCGCCGGAAGTCGTGAACCCTTTTACCTCGTGAAACCGATTTTCTTCTCTTACCCTCGTCAAATCCCTTGCCCCTTTTCAAGAAATCCTTCCTATCTTTTCAAACCCCATTCTTGTTTCCTTCTTGACTCAACTCTGTTCAATGTTTCAACCTCATCTTTTCTAAGTTGTGACTTTGAAAATCTTGATTCCCTTCCTAATAAAATTTTTCCTTGAGTTTAACCCGGATACCCTCTGTGGGGAAATCCTTTTCAACTTCCATAAACCCCGTTTTGATTCCTTACTCCCTAAGTTGTAACCTCGTTTACAATTCTCTTCTCCTTAATCAACATGGTCATTGAATTGTTGATGTGACACCCCGAAATCCAAATTCAGTTAAGGGATTAATTAATTAATTAATCCTATTTCGATTTATAATTTAATTCCTTAAATTCCTGAAATTTAATAGTCGGGGACTAGTAATTGACTAGTCAACCCCATAGTCAAAGTTGTACCTTGAGCTTTGTAAGGAGTTCCCTTGTTCCTTGCACCTTTCCGTATTAGTAAGGGTATTCTTGACCTTTCACCTTGTGTTAGTATTATAACCTAACCTAGTAAGAACACCTCATTTTTATCCTTACATTTTCCAAATCCTAGCTCCATCTTCTCTCTAAAAAGGTGGGTAGCTTTTCTTCCAAGCCAAGTTGAAGCTTTGTTAAGACTTCAAGAGTTGTCTCTAAGATTCTACCTTTCATACATTTGGGCATCTAGGAGGGTAAGATCCATGTTCATCTTGCGTTTTTAGTGTTTTCTTAGGTGTCTTTTCTTAAAGATGGGATCTTTATGATCTTTTGGTGTGTTCTTGAAGTGGGTTTGGAAGGTGAGCTTTGATATGGTGCGGTGTTAAGTGAAGGTTTTTGGTCTACAAGAGGTAACCCATGCTCTACAGAATCTATTTTGCTTACCTATGTGATTATTTCTTGGATTCTACATGTGTTTTGCTATGAAATGTGAGTGTTTATGCATTGTCTTGTGAAAATGCATATCTAGAGCTTGTGTTTAGGGTTCTTGTATGCCATTGCTTGACTATTCCTTTGATTCAAGTCATTTTGTTGTATTTGGTGAGATTTGGCATGTTTTGGACTTGAATTTGGGTTTGGAGATGAAAATCCCTGAAGGGATTTATCTTGGTACAGGGTGTACCCGTGGGTGGAACGGCGGGCAGGGGGTCTACCCGCCGCCTACCTGCGGGGTACAAGGGCCTTGTGGGTTATGTACGCGCGGGCGGAACCGCGGGTAGGAGCCTACCCGTGGGTCCACCCGCGGGAAACGCTGTATGGATGTTGGGGGATTTGTTCCCCGTGATTCTTTTGACTCGGTATTTGGTCTTTTGACTTCCCGATGTTCTTTTGTGGAACTATTTGAGCGTCTTCTTGATGTTTCGTATGTCTAGAACTATATGGTAGGAATCCATGTAGGTTTTGGTGTCTTGAATCGTGCTAAGTATTCAACTTTGTGTTTCGTTGAACCGTGATGAGTCTTGTGTGTTCTTCGGAACTACGTTTGGTTTACCCGTTTGATAAGCATGCTAGTTCGGTGTTTAAATGCTAGTGTGTGTGTTGTTTGTACCTTCCTAATGGGTGATGATAACTTGTGTTATTCATCGTTGTTGTTGTTGGACTGTGATCCATTCCTTGATTGAGTATGGTTTCATATCTTCGTTGTGATCCGTTGATTGATTCCTGTTGTGGTGTGATGTGTGTGTGGCTTTACCTGGATTGCACGATTAGTGGTATGGGACACTAGTCACCAAGGTATTGCAGTTGTCCTCGTGGTGGCCATGACGTGATTATTGAGTTGTGACCTTTGTGTAAGGTTCACGTATTTCTTGGGTGGCATGTGTTGCCGTGTGTGTGATTGGTACCCTCATGTACTATGAAATCGGTGGTTCTGTTGGAGATCTGTTGGAGAAGGGACGACAGTCCTCGGAGTGAAAAGGTTGGACTTAGTGTACAGGGTCCTGGAGGTAAAGGTTGGAACTAGACATAAGGTTGGGGGTAGCCATAAGGTTGGAACCGGGCATAAGGAATGCATATCAACTCGTGATGGGTGATGTCACGAGGGCTTGTGTAGCCGTTGTTGTGAGTTCTCTTCTCGTGACGTGTGTAGTCACAAAGGCATGTGTTGCCTTGGCATGTGTTACCGTGTGCAGTGTCTTTATTCCTTGAGTTACGCATGTCGGATATTAATCTATTGTGTGATGATAGATTGTACCTTGAGACTTCTTGTGAGTCGTTGTTGTTCTTTGTAGTCTTGGGATGTGTTCCCGTATTCTTGTTGAGAGTGTTGAGTCTTGTGTTGACTATTACTCTTGGTATTTGACTTATATATATATATATATATATATATATATATATATATATATATATATATATATATATATATATATATATATATATATATTCCATTTCGAAAATGGTTTTACAAACTTATATCTTACCTATGTATGATATTTCAGATGTATTGGTGGGTTACCAGCATTATTCGCTGACCGGGCGTCGTCCCATGTTTTATATGCTTCTTTCAGGTGATGCTTAGACGAGTGCATGGTCTAGTGCCAGCTAGCATAGTTTCCCCATTGTGTTTTGTGGCCTGTGAGCCAATATAGACATAGTACTCTGTTGGATGGTTGTAGATTTTAAACAATGCAGATTTAGCCTGTGCGTTCACCCTTGGGTGAGCGTGGCATAGCACCCCGTTTCCTCGTTTTATATACATCTTATCTTTCAGTCTTCCGCTGTGTTTGGTGTTTTGATTTAAGTTATCTGCATGTTTTAAGTCTTTAAATAGCTTGGTTTTAGGGGGTGTTACAGTTGAACCTAAACTCTCACCTTGATCTTTCTCTTTGAATCGAACCTCGTTCTTGTATTCCCCACTTCTAACGATTCGGTGCAAGGTGGCTCGTTCCTTCTCCTACGTCTGCGGGGCAACCCACGTCTGCCCAATCCACTATAGATGTTCACCAAAAGGAGTATTACAAGACGTAAATACAAATGGCCTCCAGCCTTTACCACTACCACTCTTTCTAACACCTATCCAGGACTGACACACGAATGCCCGAACAATCTTCACCAGATGCTTCAGCAGTACCACGTACTGATCATGTAGTACAGATTAAATATTCTTAAGAATTAAATAATAAAACATATTAAAATAGGAAGCTTTGCAAATCAGATGTGTGCTGAGTATATTAATCTCCAAATTCAGCAATGTCTTCTTTCGAACAGCACCCTTTTATAGCAGATGTTGTGCTTCATTTTGTGATCCTTAAATGTAGCCATTTTCCTAGTTCGAATAACCTCAGCCACATTCTTTTATTTCTTTGAAGCCTTCATACGTAGACTTCATTCTCCAAGGCATGCCATCCACACATTTAAATATCACATGGTCCAAAATAGAATTAACACTAATAACTCTAATTAAATTCTTTAATTAAAAACTAATAAAGCTACTACTAAATAAAATAGCCAATAAGTTTAATGTGTAAATAATTTTACACTTACAGAAGGGAATAAAACATGGGCTTAGGTAATTACGAGAAAGTACATGAAGAATGGGGCTTATGTCACCAATATGAGAAGGAAAAGACATGATTCCAATGTTTGGAAAGGGATTTGTGCTGCTGCCCCGTTGCTTGAGAAAGGGGCGAGAAGAGTAGTGAAAAATGGGAGAGAGATGAAGTTCTGGACAAATTGTTGGATTGGAAACAAACCACTCCAGATTTGTCGTACGCTGTCAACCGCCTCTGTCAGTTTATGCATTCCCCTACTGACGACCACTGGGGCCTTGTTAAGCGGGTGTTGCGATACGTCAAGGGGACTCTACATTATGGTTTGTATCTCTCCCCCTCTTCTTCCTCGGCCATTCATGCTTTCTCGGACTCTGATTGGGCAGGATGTCCACACGACAGGAAGAGCACCAGCGGGTATGCAGTGTTCTTAGGAGACAACCTCATCTCCTGGCTCTCTCGAAAGCAGCGCACAGTGGCCCGCTCGTCAACTGAGGCAGAATATAAAGCCTTAGCCGATGTCTCGGCTGAGGTCACCTGAGTTGTTTCACTACTTCGAGAACTTGGGCTGCACTCCGCACAGCCACCAACTCTATGGTGCGATAACCTTGGCACCACCTATCTCTGTGCCAATCCAGTATTTCACACAAGAACTAAGCACGTTGAAATAGATTTTCATTTTGTTCGGGATAAGGTCGCTTATTGGGAATTTATTGTCAACTTTGTATCCACCAAGGACCAACTCGCAGATATCTTCACCAAACCGCTTCCAGGACCGCGTTTTACAGCTCTGCGTAGCAAGCTCAATGTAGTTGCACACCCACCTTGAGCTTGAGGGGGTGTGTCAATAATGTTATATTATTTCCCTTTGTAGTATGTAATTATTTATGTGGTCCTAGTTAAGTGGTTTAGTCTAGCGTAATAGTTAGGAGAGGTTTACGTCTTTTAAACCTCTTTTAGTATTGTAATAGTTATCTGTTTAATCTAATTCTGAATTTCTCTTCTCATCTTGTTGTTGAGCAGATACTATGGATATGTTAGATTGTAGTAAAAAAAAAAAAAAAAAAAAAAAAATTGGAATGTTTTATTATTATTATTATTATTATTATTATTATTATTATTATTATTATTATTATTATTATTATTATTATTATTATTAATTACATTTGCTCATGAATGCAACATTTGCCCTCTGATAAATATATAGTCTTGATACATATCAAATAGCTAGAATTACAACATTAGTTTTAACATAACTTTATAAGAAATAATATACTAATTAAATATTTTTTATTTCAAAAAAATTAAATATTTTTTCGTAGAGTTAGTTTCATTTTTTGACTTAGATTTATAGGTGTCAGTCCACTTTTAGTCATTTTTTTTAAAAGCATCCCCTTTTGGTCCTAATATTATTGTGGCATGATCATTTTTGATCATTTGTCAACAAAATCGTTTAAATGACATTAAATACAAGAGCATTTTGATCAATTCAGTTCTAAGTGTTAAGTCTTTTTTTTTTTTTTTTGGTTCTAGATTTATATGTGTCATTTCACTTTTAGTCTCTTTTTTTTTTTTTCCAAAACAGCTCTATTGATCCTAGCATTATTGTAACATGACCACCTTTTTGGTCATCCGTCAACAAATATGTTTAAATGACAATAAAAATGATGTTATTAATGACTCAAAATCATTTTTTTTTTCTTCTTGGTAATAAAACTGTTATCAATACATAAGTTTACATACTGCAAAATTCAAAAAAGTGCAATTGAAAAGATCACTAGTTTACTTCTTGGCAAACCTTAAGTCTAGTACATAAGCACAGTCTACTTCATAAAAATTCACAAGACTTGTGGTTCTATTACCAAGAAGAAAAAAAAAAAAAAAGACTAAAAAATGATACACCTCTACTAGATATGATGTTTCGTCGTCTCTCCGCGGCCTTCAAAATTCGTGATCTCGGGACTCCGGGATTCTTTCTTGGCATCGAGACACTGGCACTTGATGGTGGTTGCCTCCTCTCGCAAAAACGTTACATGGTTGATATCTTAAATCAGGCTGGTATGTCAGACTGTAAGCCACTCACAACACCAGCCATGGTTTCTCACGTTAACAGTTCCGCATCCCAGCCATATGACAATCTGACTCAGTACCGCCGTATTGTTGGCGCCCTACAGTATCTCACGATCACGCGTCCGGATCTGTGGTACGCTGTCAACCGCCTCTGTCAGTTTATGCATTCCCCTACTAACGACCACTGGGGCCTTGCGAAGCGGGTGTTGCGGTACGTCAAGGGAACTCTACGTTATGGTTTGCGTCTCTCCCCCTCTTCTTCCTCGGCCATTCATGCTTTCTCGGACTTTGATTGGGCAGGATGTCCACACGACAGGAAGAGCACCAGCAGGTATGCAGTGTTCTTAGGAGACAACATCATCTCCTGGCTCTGTCGGAAGCAGCGCACAGTGGCCCGCTCGTCAACTGAGGCAGAATATAAAGCCTTAGCCGATGCCTCGGTTGCGGTCACCTGGGTTGTTTCACTACTTCGAGAACTTGGGCTGCACTCCGCACAGCCGCCATCTCTGTGGTGCGATAACCTTGGCGGCACCTATCTTTGTGCCAATCCAGTATTTCACGCCAGAACTAAGCACGTTGAAATAGATTTTCATTTTGTTCGGGATAAGGTCGCTTCTGGGGAATTTATTGTCAACTTTGTATCCACCAAGGACCAACTCGCAAATATCTTCACCAAACCGCTTCCAGGACCGCGTTTAAATAATAAATAAAAATTGAAGTTATAGGAGGTGAAATTCATTGCACATAATATACTATAACATCATTTTCATCCTCGACAATTATACTATTGACATACCAACTGCACCATTGATTTTTGCTTCTTTTTCCTGGAAATGTAAAACACTTTATTATGAAATATATATTTTGTTCACTCATTTCCACTGACTAAATAGAAAGGGAAGAAAAAAGAAAGTCAATTTCAAATATTTAACATATAATAATTGAACGTCACATTATGATGTAAGAAAAAAAAATTAAATATAATTTTAAATAATCCTTTTCCTCTGGTGAGTGATAACAATGGAAGTTGACAATATGCACTTAAATATTAGTGATTTTAATTATTCATAAAATAATCGATTATTATAATGGATGCATGAACTGTCACGTTGCTGCAAGATCCAAAACCAAATCAAAGTACTAACCTTATTATTTTGTATGATAAAAATATGGAAAAAAAAATATCACATTTGATTGTTAAGTTTTACTTTGAATGTATGGACTCATTTCTAAGGTAGTTTGAGACTTTCAGGTACAATAGCTCTTATGAAAATTTTCAAACAAATTAAAACTTATTTCATAAGGTTAGTTTTGTCATTTAAGTATCAACATTCTTTCTATATATTCTCTAGTCTTACCCAATACACAATATTTTTTAACACAAGGGACCGCAAATCTGGAAAAGGTTTAATACATTTTATTAGATCTCAACTAGACAGAGTTGAGCACTCCTCAAGCTGAAAATGACATTGATCAAGCAATAAGAGAACATGTAAGAACAAGATTGATGTTTAAATGACAAAATTAACGTTATAAAATTAGAATTTTAAAAATTTTAGCTAACAAATTTTTTTTTTTTGGTTAGAAACTAAAAAACGCCACTTTGAAAAAATTGATGAATAAAATTTACATGGGTGTATTCAATTCAGACTTTTATAAACTTTTAAAGACTTTAAAAGTTTTGTGGTATTTGATATAGACTTTTAAAGACTGTTTAAAAGTTTACCGGTATTCGATTCATAGTTTTAAAACTTCTTTAAAAGTATACTAGTATTCGATTCAAACTTTTATAAAGTCTTTAAATGTCTATTGGTATTCAAAAACTTATTAACTTTTATAGATCCTATCATAATAGGATTTTTATAGATTTTTCTTTCACAAATATAAATAGTTGAAATCCAACCCTCTAACCCCAAACTTTTCAATTTTATCTACAAACCTTTTTTTCTCTATCTAAACCAAACAAACTTTTCATCTATTTCTATCAAATTTTATGATATATTTCAAAACTTTCATTAATACTCATATACTTTTGATTTCTTCTTTTTATTTTCAGACATTTCTATAAAGAATGATGGAAAAAATTTATTATTGTTGCAAACAACAACTAGCTAGATGTTGCTACTGTTTCTTGTTGGCACATTTTTTATATTATACTAGTTAATTTGCTATAAGAGTTAATATCAGTCAAGGTCCCTCAAGTATAGTGATTTTGCTATTTATGGTCCTAAACTTTCAAATCAATCCTCCGAGATCCTTCATGTTTCAAAAATGACCTGCCTTTACTTAGTCCTGTCGTTAGTCTTTGCCGTTTGAGCCGTGAAATACGAGGGCATTATAGACATTTCACATTTTTCTCACCGAAAACAATTCATTATGAACCATCTCCTTCTAAAATCGAAATTACCCCACCCAACCTAACCCTTGGTGCCAAGAACGTGTGGCGGCGGCCGGAGTTGTCGAAGGTGGACGCGCCAATCTTGGTGCCAATACCATGGTGTAACGAGAATCCATTGTACGGGTTCACTCAGGCTTCCAGTAACCCATTTCTCACCGTCGATTCCCAGCTCTTGAGCTCTGGCCAAAACATGATGGCCCTCTCTACCTACTCGTTGACTAGTTCACAAGACTTAAATCCCAGTTAATCCCGGAGTTTCCATAGAATTTCTCATCAGCTCTGTTGTAGAAACCGGCGTTTATATATATGGGGCTGCTTTCGCCGAGAACGCGGCTGCGTGCGTTAGGGTCTCCATTGTCGGAGATGAAAGGCTGAGCAGGGGAATCAAAGGTGTCGAATTCTGACAAGTTGGCGAGAAACCCCTCTTGGGTCATCAAATTGGGATCTCCAAACGGAACGCTGACTCTTTCAAGAACTAGAACTTTATATCTCTTCGACAATGTCGCTGCCAGTGGACAACCGGCGGTGCCACCTTTGACGATGATGTAATCATAGTAGTCCTATGTCGGCATCTCGACTGCATCTACCACAAAATCCAGATAAAATGAGGTTGTAAAAAAAAAACAAAAAGAAAAAGATGGAGAATTAGCAAGAAACTGAATGGAACCTGCAGAAAATCAAGAACACGAAGAGGAGGAATTTGGAGAAGTAATTAATTAAATTACCCCGTTGAGAAAGTGAATTGGGCAGAGGCGAAATGAATTGTTTTGGGTGAGAAAAATGTGAAATGTCTATAATGTCCTCGCATTTCACGGCTCAAACGGCAAATACTAACGCCAGGACTAACGCAGGTCATTTTTGAAACATGGAGGATCCCAGAGGGTTGATTTGAAAGTTTAGGACCATAGGTGGCGGAACCACTATACTCGAGAGATCTTGGAAGGTATTAATTCTTTGCCATACTTATCAGACTCATCTAATGTTTAATGAATTCATATTTTTAGTTAGAATTGGTATATGTGCTAGTTTTATCACTTGCACTAAGCTAACAATTTGAATTTAGAGGGCGTTTGATATGCAAGATCAAATTTTCTTGGGAATTTAAGAGGTGAAAAAATAATTCTCACCCGTTTGGTGTAATCTTTGACTTAAGAAAGTTTGGGTCATCTAGAAAACTAATTCCATTATATTAAGGAAAGTAAATCTAGCTTAGGGATAAGATTATTTTTTTTCGAGTGATTGAGAAGGCATAAAATTAATTTATCCATTTATGTATTTATCTGTTTTGGAGCCAAGTTAAAAGACTCTTATAAATATATTTTAAAAAATTCTCTCCTCCCATTATGAAGAATAACAAATTATAAATAATGTATTATTAAAAGTTATGAAATGTTTGTAATGGTGTAATCAATTTAAAATTTTAATAATTTTTATAGACTTTTTAATGTGAAAAAGTTTTTAAAAAATTTATAAATGTTTGCCTTACAGACTTTTATAGACTCATACAAAGTTAATGAAAGTCTAAAAACTTTTAGAAAAGTATAAAAAGATTTTATGAAAATCATTTAAAATCTATCACTTTAAAACTATTTGAAAATCTATAAAAATCTTGATTGAATACACCACTGGCTCCTACGTCTCAAATTACTAAGGAATTGAGTCTACACTAAGAATATAATATAACTCAAAAACAAAAAATGTCATTTTTTTCAAAATTATATATTAGCAGTAATCTACAAATCTAATAAGAGACAATAATGTTAAGCCCTTAACTGGAACCTAAAAAAAAAAAAACATGTCAGTAGTACATGTTTCTTAAAATGAATGGTTCATATTATTTTGCTTTTAGTATTTTTTTAATGATTTTCCTTATTTACCCTCTATTATATTATTTTCTTCCCTTAAATAACCCTAAATTCCGTTAGTATAAACTTTTGTAACGGAATATTCCGTTAACGATTTATTATTCTGAACATACTCATCAATCTATATAAGAAAGGTCTTAGGTTCGAACCTCATCCCAATTAGAGTTGACATAATTGTTAAACATATATTTTGAATATGTTAAAATGTATTAAAAATATATATAATATAAAATTTAATATAAACTTTGGTCAAATAATTAGCCCGACTAAATACATGTATTTTATACAAAATATAATAAATATTAATATTTTGTTCAATACTTCCACATGATAATAACCTACAACACACATCTCACAACACATGAAACATGTAGGGGAAAAACTACCACTACTAAATATCAATAGGTGTTTGTAAGATAAAGAATTCATATTACAACTAAAATCACATGCAATCATATACATAGCAATGCAAATCTAAAGCTTCCTACATCATAATCTCATTGCATGATGAATCCCCTATACTTTGAAATATTTATTTAAAAATAATCATTGGGCATTATCTCATTCACGCAAAGTGCGTAAAAAAACTAATAATAATATATAATATGCATGAAAAATTATACAACTTCGTGTAATTCCTTAGCTTAGTTCAAAAAATAATATTTAATTCTAAAATCTTTCTTATACATACATATTATTTAAAAATAGATTTTATTGCTCTTTTAGTTCTTTAATTATAGTTATAGTTACATTTCTACATGTAATGCTCAAATTTAATTTTCAAAAGTATTGTATTTTTCTTTTGAAAGTATTGTATTTGTTCGTATAAGTAATAAATATTTTATTTATTATTTAGTACTACATCTGTTATAAGTATTACATTTGCATATTTACCCGACTTATCACACAAATTTTTTTGCCTTTTAATTAGCAAAAACTTGTGTTAGACAGCTTCACGGATCCTTGTTCATGCGCCATGGTCAATATCAAATTTAATACTTATACGAAAAATTAGTTTTTTCATGTGCATTGCGCGAATGTGATAATGCCCAAAGTATTTGTTGAATGTTGAATTTTTTTTATTTAAATAGACAATTTAAAGTATTTGAATGCAAGATAGTATATGAGAGATAGATTATAATTGTCATTAAAATAAATGTTTGCAAGTTTGTAAAAATGCTAGTCTAAATTAGTCTAAAAACGATATAATAGTCTAAATAAATATTACTTTTTGGTTTGAATTTCTCTAAATCTTCTTAATTCACTTTTGGGTAACATTGTCATTGTCATCTTCTTCAGTACTTGTCCTTTTCTTTTTTATTGGTAGTGTGTCTTGTGCAATAGGATTACTGGTGGTAGCATAGAGGGCAGTGCCCGCCATACAATGAGATTATGGCGTAGAAAGCTGTGGATTTGCCTTGTTGTGTATACGACTAGGATCTTAGTTGTACTATGAACTCTTGATCTTGCAAGCGTCTATTGATATTTGGTAGTGATAATTTTTTCCTTACATGTTTTACATGTTGTGAGATGTGTCGTAGATTCTCATGTGAAAGTATTGAACAAAATATTAATATTTATTATATTTATATAAGGTTAATGAGTAGTACCGCTTGTTCTAGTTCCATAACTTGTATATTTGATAGTAATAACAATGACTCTACAAGTATAGTCTGAATACTGATGCCGCAATATGTCCAGTTTCATCAGCAATTTTCGCATCTATTTTACATATGTTCATTTTTATGTTCATATTTTTTGGAATTAGTATGAATAAGTGTAGTACTTGATTTTGTGTGTGTGTGCGTGTGTTTTTTATAATTTTTTATTTTTGTTGTTGTTGAATTGATACTAACCTTGGAGTACCTACCGCTACATTTTCACCACAATGCATGCAGTTAAATAGTTTGTCACTTTGTGCATAAACCTTTGATGTCAAGGTTTGATGCTACTTTTGCCTTTAATCCAAGCATGTTGAGTCTAGAAAATGAAATAAATTGTAAATTTATATTAGTTTTAATATATTTAAAGGCAGGACTGACTTTTAGATTTTTGTGACCCGATTCAGGTAAATAAATGAGGCCTTACCAAAATCAAAATCTTTAAAATTAATACCGTAATTTTTTTAATAATAATAACAATAATAATAATAATAATAATAATAATAATAATAATAATAATAATAATAATAATAATAATAATAATAATAATAAGGTGGTAAAATGTTACTGTGCGCAAAGAAAAGGCCAAAAAAAAAAAATATTACGGCATAAATTACAATTTAAAAAAATAAGGAAATGTCCAAAGCTAGAGCAACATGCAAGTTTCAAACCTTAAACCTCTAAGTTAAAATACAATAAACACATATTCCTACCATTTCTTCATGGAGCCTTTTTAAGGCTAATTGAAAACGTTTAGATTTTATTTCTAAACTAGCTAGGTAAAAATGAAATATTGGGCCTCTAAACTTTGGGGCTCCTCTAAAAATTGGGGCCCTGTGCGGTAACCCAGCTTGCACAGCTAAAAATCCGGCCTTGGGATGCACAATAAATATTTTGCATACATGATCAATGGATGCGGCAACGTTGACTATTTTTGAAATTTATTCATTTTTTGGATTTGCAAGATTAATTGCAACATTATCCTAGTCTCGACATCTTTTCAATACGTCAAATGTATCACGGTGTTCTATTGCCCTACATTGATATTTTTAATAATGAGTTTTAAATGTAGTTACGTAAGATAATTGTCTAATTACCATTTACATATTATTATCAGCATAAAAATATATCAGTCCTTTACCTATTATGTTCAAGGTACTTTGGATTCAACCATTATTGTTTAATGAGTTATTGTGAATAAGGAAATTTCTAGTTTATTTAAAGAATAAGATTTAGATAAGATAGTAAAATTTTATACATCATTTTAAATTATCTTAATAAAAATATACGATTTTCCTTTAAAGTGAACAACTGTGATATAGTCCAGAGATATTATGGGGAAGTTTCCCACTTCAATTTATTAGGTTATTTGAATGCCCTCTTTGACTTCAAGTTATTTTTTTATTTTTTTTTTCAATGTTATTAATAAAGTACTTGATAAATAAATATATAACATTAGTTTGTATTATAACTTTGATATTTAATTACAAGATAGTGCAAAAAGAAAACAATGGACAATCTAGTTAATATAATAAATTAATAAATTTGAAGGTAAGGAATCTTTACATTGTAGAAAATAAAAACAATATAACTAATATTTTTTTTTAAATTTTTGATAATGAATAATTTTTTTTTTGAATAAATGCATTGTAGACATCTAATGTAAATTAAATAAATGTATATGTATTTTTTTTGTTATAATTACTAATTTATTTAATTTAATAAGATTATTAAGTGGTGACGGTAAATATGTTACCGGAGAATATAATCTAAGAGTAACAAGTTGTATTGTTATGTGTTTCAGTACAGAATTAGAACGTCTCTCTGCTCAGCTAGGAACCCTCTACTTATAACTAAGTCCCTAACGGTAAGTAACAGTTACATTATAATGAGGAGTCGAACACTTATTTTTCTGCCTTGAATGAGTGTAGTAATCATTTTGCCCGTTGGACTCTTAAGTGTTACCGGGTCAGGTGTTTGTTGGTGGTCCGGGTCGGGTTCTTGACCCATTAATTACTCGGTCAAGTGGGTACTACTTATTTTTTATACATAATAATTACACCAACATTTTTTAGTTCCCGTTAGTGGCCTAACTTTGTTGGCTCTAATTAAGTTTGTAGATACAATATTAATAAGATATGAAATGTTTCTTACTTATATTGAAAGTGTAAAGAAAAATGTAATACTTTTATATTTTGATTTAAAAGTATTACGGCGTACATTTTTACTTAAAAGTATTATATTTTTTTCTTATGAGTAACAAACACTTGCCAACATTACTTATAAAGGAAAATGTAATACTTTTGATGTTTGTCATCCAAAGTATTACATTTTTCCATATAAGTAACAGACATTTTATTCATAATTAATATTATAGTTTTCAGTATAAGTATAACATTTTCATATTGACCTGACTCGTCTCACGGTTGTGCTTGAGATAGTCTCACACAAGTTTGTTAATTGCCAATTACTATATAATGTGATGACATCTCCTTACCCTTTTAAATAGGTGGTCATATGAACAAATTTTGATGGTGAAATTATGAATATTTTAAAAATAATTAATTAATTAATATTTTTTAATAATTAAGTAATCTCATTTGTTGTCGTATTACATTTTTCCTTATAAGTAATATAACATTTTCATATTGATCTGTCTCGTCACACGATTATTTTTGAGATAGTATCACACAAGTGTATTTATTACCAACTGCTATATAATGTGATAACATCTCTGTTACCATTTTAAATAGACAGGTGGAGTTGGGTGGTGTTATGGATGTATCCAAGGTTTTCACTGTTAAACACAGTGACTGGATTGTAAGCCTAGAGATTGCTTCATATCCAAAGCCAAGTATAAAATCAAAGTAATCTCATTGATACTACATATCTTATTCCTAAATTTTTAATTTATTGAACAAGAATATTATGGCGATAGGCGACCACTCATCTTCTATCTCTAATTGCCTGAACTGATCCCATAGAATCTTCCCAAATCTGAATCTCTTTTAAGAAGCATGGTCTCGAAATGTCTCAGCTTCCATCTTCATCTTCATCAACCCAACCGTGACTCTATCCCTGCAATTTTCTCCAAACCCAAACGCCATTTCCAAACCATTACACCTACCAAATTGATTTCGACACCGGAACAAGGAGCCCGCCGTTCTTTCAAAAAAGCATGTCAGCCCACCACTACTCCCATGGCGTCCCCATCAAGTCAACCTCCCCAGTTCACATCTCAATTTGCCGACGATGCTCTCGTCGTTGACCCAGATCCCACTCTCGCCAACGATGACCTCCGGCCGACGACGTCCGCGGAGCGGACGTTCTCCGGCTGGGAAATGGCCAGCCTGTGGATTGGACTGGTTGTCGGCGTGCCGACGTATTACCTCGCCGGCAGCCTAGTCGATCTCGGCATGGCGTGGTGGCAAGGGATCGCCACCGTCGTAGTGGCCAATGTGGTCACAATGGTGGCGCTAGTCCTCACCGGTCACGCCGGCACGCGCTACGGCGTTCCCTTTCCGGTGCTGGCACGGTCCTCCTTCGGAATCCGTGGGGCCCACATCCCCACCTTGCTGCGGGCACTGGTTGGATGTGGATGGTAATGTTGGATTTTCCCGATAGTATATATTTTGTATTGGGTGTGTTTGGTAAGTAGTATTAGCTGATTGTGTTAATTGATTTGACTAGTTGATGGTACTAGTTGATTGTAGAAAGATGGTTGGTAAAATAGTGTGAGTTGATAGCTTATTATATGCAAAATGACTTTCTAAAAAAGCTGATTGAAAAAACAGTTCTGAGCAATTTTTTGGAATTTTGATATTTTGGAGTAATAACTGTTACAAAAAATTAATTAATAAAACACTTATATAGTTATATTGGTTGTTTAATCAAGTCAAACAGCTAATAGTTGTGAAATAAGTTAAAATAGACTGTTAAGCTAACTATGTTAATATAATTGACCCTTAATTACTTAGTGTAACTGAATTTATTAAGTAGTTTTGTTGAACAGAATGATTAGAGTTTGTGAGTAATAAACCACTATTGCCTTTTTTAATCTAACAGGTATGGGATTGAGACTTGGATTGGTGGGGAAGCCATTTTCCTGCTCTTACCAAGAATCATAAAGGAATCATCACTCTCTCAACCTTTAACATGGCTGGGCACTTCTCCTCTTGAATTTGCATGTTTTATTGCATTTTGGTTAGCCCAGTTGGGATTTGTGTGGAATGGGATTGATGGGATTAGAGAGGTAGAGAAATACTCAGCCCCAATACTGATGGCACTCACTTCTTGCCTTCTCATTTGGTCATATGTGAAAGCTGGTGGGTTTGGCCACATGCTTTCTTTGTCCTCTAGGCTCACATCTTCACAGTTTTGGTCTCTTTTCTTCCCTTCCCTAACAGCCAACATTAGCTTCTGGGCAACTTTAGCACTGAACATCCCTGATTTCACAAGATATGCAAAATCCCAGAGAGATCAGGTGATTGGGCAAGCTGGTCTCCCAGTTTTCATGGGGCTGTTCACATTTGTAGGTCTAGCAGTGACATCCTCAACAAAAGTGATCTTTGGGGAAGTGATTTCCAGCCCCATTCAGCTCCTGGGACAAATTGGTGGGTTCTGGACTATGATTGTTGCAATTCTTGGAATCAGCCTTGCCATAATCACCACAAACATAGCTGCAAACGTTGTCGCACCCGCTAACGCTTTGGTTAACCTTAGCCCTTCAAGATTCACCTTCAGGAGAGGGGCAGTGTTGACAGCTTTGCTTGGGATTGCTTTTCAGCCATGGAGGCTGCTCAAGTCAAGTGAGAGCTTTGTGTACACATGGCTGGTGGGGTATTCTGCTCTTTTGGGGCCTATTGGGGGCATAGTTTTGACAGATTATTATCTCATCAAGGGAATGGATTTAAAGATCAAGGAGCTATACTCTTTGAATCCCAAAGGGGAATACTATTACTCCAATGGATACAATTTTGCAGCATTCCTGGCTTTGGTCATTGGGATTTTGCCTGTGATTCCAGGCTTCTTGCAGAATGTTGGGGTTTTGAGGTCCATTCCTAGGGTGTTCACTGAAATTTACAACAATGCTTGGTTCTTTAGCTTCTTTTCTGCTGGAGCTATTTATTGGATTTTGTCACTCTTGAGTGGCAGAAATAGAAATCAAGAATCTATAGAGCCCCTTTTACCCAATACACCATAGTGTTCATTGTTTCCAACTTTCAATTTTCTATTACTTTTTACTGTAAATTTCCTTGTGGTTATTTCTTGTTGGAATTGTATCACTTTACAGAAAAGAAACCTTGTTCATGGTTTTGCTTACTGTGTTTGTTTGGTAATTGACAGATAAAAATTTTAACGGAGCCACAATTTTCAGCATTTTGACATGGTCAAAATGTTAAAAATTGTGTTTGATAAATGGCGGTTTGAAGCAACGAATTTGCTCCAAATCGTCAAAATTTAAAACCTTACAATTTGTAGCGTTTCAAATTGACGTTTTGGGCTTTTAACGAAAATACCCTTAATTCTTACAAAAAAAAAAAAGGGTTAAATAAATCTTCAAATTTTACCTATAAAGTCAATTAAGGCCATAAACATTATAAAGTTGCAATTAGACTTATAAACATGTCATTTTGATGCATTGAAGGCCAACCGTTATGTTGTGCAACCGTGTGCATCATGCATGGTGCACACGGTTGCGAACGACGCCGTTTCACTATGGTGGAGTAACGGTGCCGTTAGTGGCACCGTTTAACTCCACCAATCAATTTTTTTTTCTCACCATTGTCAACTAAGGTCTACTTCTTCAGGTATTATACATTTTATGGATATATAGTTCACTAATTCTAAATTTATATTTCATCAGTTCTGAATATATAGTTCATTAATTCTGAATACACAGACGCAACGAACTGCCATAAACCAAAATAGAGTACCAGTAACCGGTGTGGATATATAGTTCACTAATTCTGGATATATAGTTCATTAATTATGTACATATAGTTCACTAATTCTGGATATATAGTTCATTAATTCTGGATATATAGTTCACTAATTCTGAATATATAGTTCATTCATTCTGAATACACAGACGCAGCGAACTGCCATAAGCCAAAACAGAGTACCAGTAACCGGTGTGGATATATAGTTCATTAATTCTGAATATATAGTTTATTAATTCTAGATATATAGTTCATAAATTCTGGATATATAGTTCAAATTATGCACAGCATAACGCCGTTAACAGCAATCGAAAATGATATATTTTTTTTTTTTAAAGTCGGACGGCATCGTTTTAAATCAAAACGACGTCGTTTTGCAACCGTGTGCACCATGCATGGTGCACATGGTTGCCCGGCATAATTTTCCATTGAAGGCGAACAACCAGTTAATGACTTGTTATTGCAGGTCACAAAAATTTTGGCGACCTTGTAACCCACTACGATAACATTCGGATTACCTCCGGTGAATTTACGATCAACTCCGCTAACATCACATGATTTACACAGTGCATACTCTGACTGCGGTTTTCCTCAATCAAAAAATAAATATAAGTCCAATGTACAAGTTATAATTCAATGTTACCTTGGACTGGACGGTCTAAAACATACTTAACTGTTCGACCGGTGTTGTCCTGTTGAAATTGCAGAGATGTTCCTCTCCAGTACGTACACTCATCACCATAGCTTCCATAGCCAACGCAGTCACAGATCTTCCAGCAAGTCTCTTTGCAGTCACTGAGGCTAGCGCTAGAATTGTGGGTCGTGAATGTTTTAGGTTGTTCGCTGGTGTAATTCACGAAACTCCCAGATCTTTCCTTGAACGTCTGACCGCCGCCGCCCCTACAGTTGGGTTGCTGCTATAATTGGCAGCCTTTTGATTGCTGAGTTTCATTTTCGTAACCGTAGCACTCGCTGGCATCGACAATCACGGTGCCGTTGTAAGTGACGAACAGAAGGCCTCGGAGGTCCAATCTCCACCCGGCGAGACGAAGTTTGAAGTTGTTCTTCGCGTGTGAAATATGGGAGATCGGAGGGATCGAGCGTGATTGCGTAGCTGAAATACTCTTATTCTTGGGTCGAAACGTTAACAAATTTGAAGATGTGAACGCCGTCGTAAGCGGATTTCTCCGGCAAGAAGGCGAGCCACGCCTTCTCAGCCGGGCCTTCTTCCCACGGGAGAATACGACCACCTTCTTGTCGGCAAATTATATCGTGCACCGCAGTGCATAATTGATTATGCACCGAGTTTCAAAAAGACGCCGTTTTGTTTAATGAAAAGAAACGACACTCGTTTCGCGCCGTTCCGCAAAAAGTAACTCAGTTATTCAGTTTCATTTTGTATATACTGCAGTTTCAGTTCAACACAATTACAGTTTCATTTCGATATAACTACAGTTTCATTCGATATTTATACACTCAATTATGTGAAAATGTTATTTAATTTTATTTTATGTACACTATATTTTCATTAAAACACAACTATATGATCATTTGGATATAACTACAACTTCATTGCACAATATACACTCAAATATGTGAAATGTTATTCAGTTTCATTTTATATACACTACAGTTTCATCTCACCACAACTATAGTATCATTTTGATATATGTTAGTGTTTTAATTGCTCAACAAAACCCCAATATATAATTAGCAATATTATTATGGCAAATTAAGATAGGGTTAGCTTGGGTCTGTTTGTTCTACAGAAGACTGATTGATCAGATTCAACATCAGAGGGATTGACACTGAAGATCTGTTTTACGAAGATGTTTCGTCTTTGCAGAACGCGTTTTTAAAAAGTCTGTTTTGGAAAGAAGATCAGCGTATCTCCTTTGGAAAGGTATGGACCGGATCTTTAAGATTACATTCTTCGTATATTGTCCTACCATCTACAATTAGAGATATCTATGTATAGTGTTCGTATATGGGATCTATAAGTACTCTTATTCGATCAAGAAATAGGGTTACGCTTTTGAGAAGAAAGAAACACTCAGACATACACTAAGAGAATAAATCTCTGGTTTTATGACGCTTCTCAAGACAATTTGTTCTTGTTGATTATGATGAAGAACTTGAGAAGAAATATCGTTACTTAAACGAAAAGGAAGCTAAGATCACACAGTTGTGGGAACAACGTCAAACTGCGTCATTGAAGTGGACTGCATCAGGGTTAGCTCTCCAAGTGAAGGGATTTCATTGGACTTCTGTATGCACGGCTCTCCATCTTCAACAATCCACTAAGTCAGTGTAGACTGGGTACTTACCTTGTGTGGGGCACTTGGGTGAGATTTCTATTCTCTACCTTTGTACATTTGATGAACTCTTGGATGCTTGCACAATAGATTGAAGATTTGGGTAACATTTCTTCCTTGTTTATTATTTCAGATTTAATCTTGTGTTTGCTATCCTTGCAATGATGATGACTGCTTAGATTGCTTGGATTTGATTTGTTAATTATGTATTCATGCTTAGTATGGTTTATATGATGAGATTTGATGTATGGATTGCCCTTGAATGCCTATGTTGTAGGGGAGTGCATATTGATCTCTTTCCATTAAGGACCCAAATGTTTAGATGAGTGTGAGAGTGGGAGTTTAGCAAGATGTTGCACTCTCCTTAGTCTTGCCCTTGCAATCCCCTTCATATGACCCAAGAGGGCGAGCTTAGGGGAGGAGACAGTAGACCTCCCGCCAATTATTTGATAGAATGCCTCACTCGACGTAGGGAATGAGAGTTTAGGTTTGACGCAACCTAATGTTGGTGCCTTGGTTCTCCCTTAGCATATGCAATCTCTGCATCATCTTTTGTCCCAAGTTTTAGACCAATGAATGCATGATCACAAATCATTTCCCATCCAAATCCCCGTTTTACATTCTTAGTTGTTTTACTTTATTTTCTTATTTTTGTTTCCTTCTTGTACATACAACCTTATTACCAACTCTCCTATCTTGCACCTAGTTTACTCTTGTTGAGACATTGTGACAACGGTTGTCTTGCACTTTACTTGCTCCGAACGACCATCCTTGAGTTCGACACTCGGGGGTTCCCCAATTCCCGTTTACACTTCATTCCATCCACTCACCACACAAAATACACTCATCAAAATGGCGCCGTTGCCAGGGATGGCAATAAGTGACAAGTGAAGTGTGCTTACTATCACAATCTAAGAGTGTGTCAATAGAGTTCTAGGTTACCCGTTTTATTTTACTTGCTATCCATTGTGCCCATTTGTTTTACCTTGTGAATCCATCTTGTTGTTTATTTCATCATTCCATTGTTTTGCCTTGTGATTCCATAGTTGTAACACCCCGAAATTTTGAAACTTTTTAAAGCTTATATAATAAAAGCGAATTCTCATTAAATCTAAAATTAACATAAGAGTACGGGGTGCTATGCCACACCTGAGCTGGAAAGCTCAGGTGCACAGGCTAAACTAACTAAACAACCTCAAAGCAATGTCAATACATAATTGTGGCACGCAGGCCGAAAGGGAAACTAACTAGTCTACGCTCCGAATCTCTAGCGCGCTCCGGTGTTTACTCATCTGTGCCTGAAAGCCAAATATATCTGTTCAGCGAATGATGCTAGTAACCCACTCCAACATGTTTGAAATACAGTATAGGTATATATATATATATATATATATATATATATATATATATATATATATATATATATATATATAGAGAGAGAGAGAGAGAGAGAGAGAGAGAGAGAGAGATACGAAAATCATTTTGAAGTAGGAAGAGATATACTTAGGGAACTCTAGCTTTAAAATCAGGGATAGACTCACAAGTAGGGGTAAGCACATTCAATCAAGATAAACAGTTATATAAAGACAACATCATAAAGAACATGTACCTAAGGTCACAGTTTACTTTCAAGTCATCCACATCATCATTCAATCATCATTTATTCGTCATTCAAGTCATCATTCAAATCATCACCATTCAAATCATTATTCAAGACACATAAGCACACTTTGGTGGCGTCACGGGACTAATCACATGCCCCGAACATGCGGGTTAGTGCGTATAGCACTAACATGGCCCCGCAGCACCCTATCTCATACCGCAGCATGAAGGGGTTGATCACAACCAACCGTACAGACCGCCGAAAGCTCGACGACAGATCACAGCCCTACACACCGCTGACGCGCTCAGTCGGTGGACTGTGATCCTCTTACGGGGACTATGACCCTACACACCGCTGATGAGCAGAGTCGGTGGATTGTAGTGAATCAAGCCCTACACACCGCTGAGAACCTTAGTAGGTGGGCGAAAGCCCTACACCGCTGAGGATCTTAGTTGGTGGGC